TAAGGGACCTTAAGGAACTATCATAGACATCCATTCCCCCATTCCCTACTAAGCACCAGACAGTCGTGTGATCCGCTAAGAGCTCGGGAAAGTTTGATATGAACCGACTGGAGGATGTAGGAGTATCAGAAATTACGATACCTAACATGGACCCTATAGAGGGTTTAGGGTTTAGGGATAGTGGATCCACATAACAAAGACCGCAACACTGGGGGTCGTAAGAATTGGTAGTTAGTGTAGAGGCATTGACAATTCGAATAGGCTTAGAATGGGGTTTGCGGCACCATGATTCCATGATAGTATCATTATCATAAGGAACCCTAGGAAAATATTCGCAGTATCCTGACTTTGCGGCGATGTGTTCGGGTTTGCAGCAGGTCGCGTCTTGGGAACATGTTTGCCACGGGCCCCGTTTAGGACTAACTGTTTAGGTTTTATAGTGTTGTGGGTTTTGGGGCTTCGCCTCTACAGCGAGCTGGATGCAGTCCGTGATACTTAGTTCTCTCTATGGCCAAGTTTTCATGCAGTCTATCTATCAACTTCAAGTCAATCAAACTTGCTTTGCGGGCGACGGAAGCCCTATCAGAGCCCTAACCCTCGAAGCGCCAAGCTCTTTTCGTGAGAACGCCTCGGGCCCTGATCCCTGGACCGCTCAGGACAACATGCACAGATTGAAGTCCTCGTCGACCACGCAGCATCTGACACGAAGGTTGTGGCCAAGCGTTTCCCTCGGGCATATCTCCAGCATAGTCCAGAAGTGTTTCAACAGACAAAGCCGGAGGACCAGCTCGAGAATCCGTGGACTGAAATATTCCTGGCTCTGAAGTTGGGGCAAGGCCCTGCGAGGATGCGGGGTGTTGTTCCATGCTGGGGCGTGTACCGAGACTCGCGGGATGATGTGCTCTTGATGTTGCTGGGCTCGTGTTACTTCAGAATTTAGTTTTAAGTTACCATAGTAGAACAACCACAATATTTACCATAGATGCCCATTATGGAATTTAAATTACCATGTTTTGGAAACCAGAATAGTTACCATAGATTCTTTTATAGCTCCCTACTATAGTAACTTAAGCCCTAAACCCTAAACCCCAAACCCTAAACCCTAAACCCTAAACCCTAAACCCTACTCAGGTTGGAGTGGTCCCCTGGTGGCGACCTCTTCGAGCTTGCTAGCGACTTGGGGGAGGTCGGCCCAGAAAGGGAAGCTACGGCGGCGCACTTGCTCTACTCCTTGCTGAACCTGGGTTGTTGTTTTTTAAGGTTTAGGGGTTTAGGGTTTAGGGTTTAGGGTTTAGGGTATTAGGGTTTAGGGTATAGGGTAGAGGGTTTAGGGTTTAGGGTTTAGGGAACTTGATTTATGTTACCATAATAAGGTGCAATATGAAACACTACTACTTACTATAGCTCCCTGGTCTGGTAACTTAAAAAAAAAGCCAGGAATGTGGTTACACAGCTTCATGCCTTGGGCATTGCGCATGGGGATGTCAGCGCGGAGAACGCCATCCTGCGCGTTGGTGCTGGTGAGGCGGAGTATAGGCGTCTAAAAGAGTAGTGACAGACGCCCCTCGTCTACCCCATAGAGAGATCCCTAAACCCTAAACCCC